TATATTGGCGCCTTTGTGGACTCCCTTCCACGTACACGATAGCGTGGACACATTCCAACGCTAAATTCTCGGTGCTGGTGTCCCCATCGTGCTTCGAGTCACTACTCGAAGCTGGCGAACCGCAGTCAGGTGATAAACCATCACCCCCTCTAGGCACTAGATGTCCTCATCCAAGATGCCGGAAACACTAAACGGGAAAACCCCAAACTCGACCGTCGGCACTTGATGCGGGAGCTCCTGCTCGGCCGCCGTAAACCCGTGTGGGAGCCCCTGCTCAACCACAGTATGCCCATGTGGGAACCTCGGTTCGACCACAGTGGGTGATGATGGGAACCCCGGTTCGACCATCATGCACTCGCGTGGGGACTCCTGTCCGTCCACGTCACGCTCGCTGGCGAGCTCTTGCTCGTCGTCACAATGCCCTTGTGGGAGCCCCTGCTCGACCACAATAGGTGCAGATGGGAACCCCGGTTCAACCACTGCATTCTCGTGCGGGAATCCCTGTTCAACCGCATTAATGACGCGCGGGAACCTGTTTGACCGCGTCGTCCTCGTCGTCCTCTTTGCTCTATAGCGAGGAGTCACTGTCACTTGTGTCTCAAAGAACAGCACAAGCAGTGCAGAGAGAGCCATCGCTCGCTCTGTGCACCGCCAACGTCGTGGAATCACGATCCACGACTGTGACGTTCGGCCAGTCACTTGGAGATACCAAGAGATGGGTAAACGCTTCACTGACATCGAACTTGCGTCGACGTCTCACTGATCTGGCTAGCCAGTCGATCTGGGGCTTATAACGTGCCAACCATGGCATGCCCAGTATGCAATCGAATGCATAATTCATTGCGATCACCAAGAAATCATCATTACTGCGAACGCCATCAAACGTATACGGCAACGACACTTCGCGCCGCGATACGCGGTGTGGTTTCCCGTCAGCCAACTTGACGACGACTTGGCCAGGTCCCTCACGGACCTGAATGCTGGGAGGCAGCATCGACAAACAAGATTCACGAAAGAAATTGTTTGTTGCTCCTGAGTCCAGGAGTGCTCGCAGAGGTCGCCGGACGCCGGCGACATGTAAACTGACAATAATCAGACGTGAATCACCACTCGTAGTGGTGGCATGTAACCGTGCGCGTAGCGCAGGAGGACTGGAAGGTTGGGCTGCCACCGGGGGACCCGGACCTCCGTTCCAACCAGTAGGGCGCCCTGCACCTACTGGTCCCGACCGTTTTTTGGACGTGCGGCCGGTACAGCACCCTCATGATGGGCGTCCACTACTTGCACCGATATTGGGGCTGGCGCACGGCACTCTGCCGCGCGATGTCCTGGCTTGCGACAGCGAAAGCAAACCATTTGACGCCCGTTGCGAGCGTAACCTTTATGAAAGACACGTCGCCGGTCACCCGACGACTCAATAACGTCGATCTCCATAGGTTCTGGACCAGAAGGCCGGAAACGCTGACGACCGAGGGTTTGGCATATGCCTTTGTGACCCTAAAGTCTTCACGGAGTGCGATGGCAAATGCCTCCTCCAATGTGGCAGGCTCGGCGCGCTCCAGCGATAAGCGGGTCTGCCCCTCACGCATACCATCCACAAAGACATTCACCTGCGTGTACATGTCCATGGGGTGCGTGATAATACACGACGCCAGATGCCTAGCCATCTTTACGTAGTTGCGCATCGCCATTTTACCCTGTCACATCGACAGGAATCTTGATCGCACCAGTTTCTCCTCTTGTGGTGGCTCGAAAGCAAGACGAAGATCGTCCTGGATGGTATCCAAGGTGGGGAATGCGTGCTCGTCCACAACGAGATTACCAAGGGCCCACACTTTGGCCTTCCCGGTGAGGCGGGAAAGAAGAAAGTTGAACTTCGCCTGGAGAGCATCATGAAGTCTCGAGGCGATGGCGATATCAACTTCTCGGAACCACCGATTCAACGACAACCAGTCCTAACCTTCTCCAGAGTAGGAGGAGGTTTCCATCTTCACGGCCTCATTACGTGAAGGGCGCGAGGGAGTTAAGCCTCGCCGGTTGGATTCGGCGAGCTCGCGTGCCATAAACTCATGTATGGCGAGACGTTGCGCGTCAGGGGTCGCTGATCTCAACAGCGACGCGACGAATGCCTCTCCCAATATCGCCTCGAGGCGATTAAAGGCATCCCACTCAACACTAGTGAGATGGGGGAAGGTCGCGTGCTCCAAAAAATAAATCTGGAGCGTCAAAGTACGACGATTGGCTCATCCCAAACTCGGGCATAGGAAGGACTACTAAGTGCTTCCAGGTGTAACGGGGCTAGAACGTACCGTCACTAGCTTACACGCGCGCTCGAGGAAGACTCAAGCCCAAGTATTAGGTATTATGTAAATTTAACTCTGATTTTTATTTTGGTTTTAATTCGTACTAATTACGAAGATTTTAGTCGTAATAAATACGACAGTGTTTCCGCCTTTCGGGAACCACACAATCTCAGGTTGATTTATCATTGGTCCATATTGGGGACTTTAGGCCCAATAATAAACCAATAATAAAATACCACGCTGTGCCCGCTATTCGGGCCCAGCACCTGCCTACATATGTAATTGTTTATTTGTGTTAATACTATGTGTGTAATGTAGCCCATTACATCGGCTGTCCCCTGACAAGGGAAATACAAAAGAAGTCCATCATCATTTAGAGCGTAGTTCATCTCGATCTTTCCGCACGTTAACGCCACTTCTGCTGGCAAACTGCTCCAGCCACCCCGTAAGTAAATCATTAAATCGCGTATCCACATCTCTTTGTCTTGATCAGCCGAACTCGCTCGATTCGTATCCATTGCACCTCCTCTTCCTGCAAAACCTCTGTCGGCATCCTGGCCAGGGCCCGAGACCTTGTGACAGCTGTACTTCGCAGTGCTGGGCTTGGGATTTTGGGTACCAAGAGTTCAGGAAGACGGTTAATCTCTTCGAGGTCCTTCCACTCTTCCTCAGGTGTTTTATCGAAAATTTGTTCTTGATGCAGGGATGCGTTGGCGAGCCGGTCTGTGCTCTGGTTCCATTCGCGCTTCATACGTAGGACCTCATGGGCTGGCTAGGAAAGTAGCCGGTCCAGGGCTTCCGACCGTCGTGCCGTGAGACCTGTTGCCTTGCATTTAATTTCTCCTCGCATCTGTCGGATGACCAGATTGGGATCGCCGCACACCACCAGACGTCTACGATCCAATTTCTCCAGTAGGCAAAAAACATGACAATAGACCTTCATACTCCTCCTCGTTTACCATTGCTTCCGTTAGGTTTCTTGAAGATGCGGCTACCACGGTCCACCCTGATATTTTCCATTCAATAGCACTGCACGCCCCGCCTCCGCGCTTGGCTCGTGCAGACCCATCGAAACTGACCACGTACAGGACCTCCTCGAACTCGATTGTAAGAGGAAGTCAGAGGAAGATTTTTTTAGGCTGAAAGTCACTTTGGTTCATTAAAGTAATAAAACTAACGGCTTATAGCCACTAATTACTAATGAATTGATTTAATGAATAAGAAGTTTTATGATCTAAGGAACTAGAAGGAACTTCTAGTCTATTAGCAATAGCTTAAGGTTCAGAGAATTAACGCACAGAGTGCAAGAACAAGATAGGTAATTAAAGGTTCAGAGAACCAACGCACAAAGTGCACAAGAGAACAAGTCTTATTGAAACTTGGGACCTTTAATTTATAATGAGAACTGACTTATGTATGCACTAAGTATAACGGGGTTACACGACGGTTGTAGCGTCTTTCCGAGAGTTTACGGTTAAACTCTCCTTTGTATTGCATATAATGCATTTTGATACTTCTCTTTAGAGAGGTATTAAGTATGAGCGTTAAGATACGGTATTCGGTAATCACGTATCTTATCCATTGGAAATCGATAAATCACTAACGCTGTATTAAGTACATCATACACAGATGTTTAAACGATACGTCGTCCAATAGCAAAGTCTGCATGTAATTAGTACGATTATAGTAATTATCTAGTGTAGTGTACTTAGAGTAGGACTATTCATAAAATCTTAAAGCATAAATAAAATCAGTTCTCATTTTGAGTTTAAGATCGCAAGTCGCTCTGACTTGTTCACTTGTGCACTTCGTGCGTTGGTTTCCTGAACCTCTAAGCTTCTAGCTTGTTCTTGCACTCTGTGCGTTGGTTCTCTGAACCTTGAGCTTATTGCTTGACTGATTAAAAGTCTCTTTCCTAGTTCCTTAGAACAGGGTGACTTTAAGTCGTTTAATTAGTTCCTTAGAACTAAGTGGCTTTTAGCCTTAACTCTATTTAGTTCTCTAGAACTAAGAGGCTTCCAGCCGAAAGTCTTCCTCTGGCTAAAGAGCTGTGCAGATCCGCTACACTAAGATTATATGAACAATCCTACTTTGAGTACCCTACACTAAATTAATTACTATACCATCGTCTGTTATCTGGATATGGAATCATCTAATCATCAGTGTATGTTGTACTTAGTACTACTGTATCAGTTATGGAAACGATACCGATAGTATAAGGTATTACTGATATCTCATTATATGACTTATATATATTACCCCTTTTCAAAAGGTCGGTATTAAGAATACTTCATATGCAATATATAGAAACCTAAGCCGTGATGCACTTTTAGTATGATGTTCCAACCGCCGTGTAACCCCGTTACATCTTTGGAACAAGCCAAGCGAAATGAAGCAACCAGGTGTCAATCGAACTTATATAATGTACATTTATGGCGTAATATACATTTATGATTGCTTTCCTATGATGTAATTACAAACTAAAGTTAATTCGTTGTTTGGTTCGATTTGGCATTTTGACCAATCAGATTCTAAAAAATGGGGTGGAGGATGGTTACCAAAATGGTGGTTGATAAATAACGCCTCCCCTAATTATTTCAAGACGGTAGCTTACACTATTGGACCAGTCGTGAGATATTTATGGTATCTGAGTTACCAGCAAAGAAAAGTCGTCTCTTTTCTCAATTATCAGCCTGCTTAACGTTTATTATGTTCCCGAAACAGATCCTCTTTAGTGGATACAAAGCCCATGACCGCTACCGACGTCGAAAACATGGCTACACGTGGGGCCACAAGAGGCCCAGCGATGCGAAGAAAGTCGCGGACATTCCACGCTGTTACATTTGTAGGAACTTCATAAGTCAATAAATGTGACAAGTACCGATTGAGGACTCGTCCTTGAGCTGAGTATGTGGCCACCGCTGAGATCCCGCCAATCGCGAGGCTACTAGCGCTTTTGGGAGGGGCTTCGTTGGCCGCGGATGGAAGCGCCAGCATTGCACCTGTCTGATACATGCCGTAGCCAGTGACTGTACCCACGGTGATTGTACCAATGATAAATAGAGGGAGCACCATAAATAAAGGTCCTTGATACTTCACTTGTGCAAAAATATGTCCTTCCACTGTATTGCAAAGAGTCCCAATAACGGGTAGTAATATATCGACGACCTAACTATTGATGCAAAGGACGTCAAGAAGGTGGCGCTATAGAGGTGACTAGTTAATATGATGCAGCTTCCATTGATGCTTTGTACTAAGTACGAAAGAGGACAAATGTCATCTTGCACATATAGTTAATATAAGAGACGCCCCGTCGGTTTTAACTGGTCATCAACCGTCGCCTATTTATTACGAAAGAATCATCATTTTTCATTTAGTTAAGTGCAAGACAGTGAGTGACCTAATTAGAAAAGACCTAAGATTCCAATGATTATAGTAGCTTACAAAGTAAAATTAAGTCTTTGGACGATGCAGACGACACTTGCTATTATTTGCTAGACAGTATATGATGGAATTTATAACAAGAATATCACATTTAGACCATAATATCAACTGAAACAGCGCAACAATAGCTAGAAATATGGGTTTTCTAGAAAAATGCACTGATTTTATGGAGTACAGCCTTAGAATATATACATAAAGCAAGTTTATTAAATATCACAATATCTATCATCCACTTTTACATATCTATGTCGCACTCTCTTCTTATAAAGTTTCACAGTGCAATCTAGCCAACAGCTCACCAGCCATTGTTACATTCGACCCATGGCAGACACGATGGAATCTCCCCCACCTGATCCTCCAGCTCCTCTTAAGCTGAGTAAAAATGCAATGAAAAAAGCTCAACGTGCCGAGAAGAATGGAAATCTTCAACCAAAAAAAGAAAAAGATCCGAATCGTTGGGCACCTAAGAACGAGTCAAAGAAAAAGAAAAAACATGAGCTTGAGACGTGTTCTAACGTCATTTTTGTGAATCGTACGCCCAAGGGACAGAAGAAGGACCTGTATACGGAGCCTATGTTAACTGCCTATAATCCCATTGCTGTAGAGGCTTCATGGCAAGATTGGTGGGAAGCTTCGGGCTTTTTTTCATGTTCAGATGAAAAGATTCGGGCAGCTGATCCTGAGAAACGTTTTGTCATGGTCATCCCTCCCCCCAATGTCACGGGTTCACTTCATTTAGGTCATGCTTTGACTGTGGCAATTCAAGACGCACTTACACGTTGGCATCGTATGTTGGGTCATGCAACATTGTGGGTGCCTGGTACAGATCATGCTGGTATTGCTACACAATCGGTCGTGGAGAAGAGACTATTAAAAGAAGAAGGAAAAAGTCGTCATGATTTAGGACGAGAAAAGTTTCTAGAACGTGTATGGGACTGGAAAAATCAGTATGAAAGCCGCATTCATCACCAATTTCGAAGTGTTGGCTGCTCTGTCGATTGGGATCGCAAGTATTTTTCCATGGACGACAATTGTAGTCGTGCTGTACGTCACGCTTTCTGTAAGCTTTGGGAAGAGGGACTTGTGTACAGAGCTACGAGGATGATCAACTGGAGTTGTAAGCTCAAGACGGCACTCTCTGAGATTGAAGTCGACTACATTGACATTGAGAAACGCACGAAACTAGCGGTACCTGGACACAACCCGGACCGCAAATACGAGTTTGGTGTGCTTACGTCATTTGGATACCAAGTGGAAGGAGCGATGGATGAGCAAATTATTGTCGCTACGACGCGACTCGAGACTATGCTGGGCGACTCGGGTGTCGCCGTGCACCCCGATGACCCGCGCTACAAGCACTTGCATGGCAAGTTCGTGATTCATCCGTTTAATGGCCGTCGCATCCCCATTGTACTAGACCCTGTCCTGGTCGACATGACCTTTGGTACAGGTGCCGTCAAGATTACGCCTGCCCATGACCCAAATGATTACGAATGCGGCAAGCGTAACAACCTCGAGTTTATTAACGTGCTTACGGACGATGGCGCGATCAACGAAAACGGCGGTGAGTTTGCTGGTATGATGCGCTATGACGCGCGTATTGCCGTTGAGAAGGCCCTTGAAGCAAAGGGACTGTATCACGGCAAGGAGGACAACAAGATGCGGTTGGGCATTTGCTCGCGTTCTGGAGACGTCATTGAACCACTCGTCAAGCCGCAGTGGTTCGTCAACTGCGACCAGATGGCGAAGGATGCCATGGCTGCTGTCACGAACAAGGAGCTGATTATCGTACCGGAATCACACGAGAAGACGTGGTTCCGTTGGCTAGAGAATATTCGTGACTGGTGCATCTCGCGACAGCTGTGGTGGGGCCACCGCATCCCGGCCTACTTTAGTCGCATCAAGGGCGAATCCTTTGTCGACAAGAATTCAGACGATGCTAGCAACCGCTGGTTTGCTGGAACCTCTGAAGAAGACGCGCGTAAAAAAGCTTCGATCAAGCTCGGCGTTGCTGAGGATCAGATCGAGCTGGAGCAGGACGAGGATGTTCTCGACACATGGGTGAGTGCTGGTCTGTTCCCGTTCGCGGTGTTCGGTTGGCCTGAAAATACAGGCGATTGTGAAAACTTTTATCCGACGGACCTGCTGGAAACAGGCTATGACATTCTATTCTTCTGGGTGGCGCGTATGGTGTTCATGGGCCAGAAGCTTACGGGCAAGCTGCCGTTCAAGACAATCTATTTGCACTCGATGGTGCGCGACAAGTACGGTCGCAAAATGTCCAAGAGTCTGGGGAATGTCGTGGATCCGCTTGAGATCATTGCCGGTTGTACTCTGGACGACTTGTTTAAGAAACTGGAGAACGGTAACTTGCCAGAGAAAGAGGTGGAGAAGGCTAAGAAGGGCCAGAAGCTGGACTTCCCACAAGGTATTCCAGAGTGCGGTGCAGACGCACTTCGTTTTGGTCTATTGGCTTACACGCAACAGGGCCGCGACATTAACCTAGACATTGGCCGTCTGGTTGGGTACCGCAACTTTTGTAACAAGCTGTGGAACGCCGTTCGTTTTGCCATGTCCAACCTTGAGGGTGGTTTTTCGGCTGCCGAGAACGTTGCTGACACGGTCCTGTCCAATGCTGTCGTGGGCTCTCGTGACCGCTACATTCTGAGTCGTTTGAACCACGCCATTAAGGTGTGCAATGACTCGTTCGCTGCGTATGAGTTCGGTGAGCTTACAAACGCCTTGTACAACTTCTGGCTGTACGACCTTTGTGACGTGTACCTTGAGCTGACGAAGCCTGTGATCGTCGATGAGGATGCCGAAGCTAAGCTCACAGCGCAGCAGACGTTGTACGTGTGTCTGGAGTTCGGTCTTCGTCTACTCCACCCGAGCATGCCGTTCGTGACGGAGGAGCTATGGCAGCGTCTACCGGGCAAGCGTGCGACCGCTAGTATTACGATCGCGCCGTACCCGCTCCCTATGGAGGGCTGGACGAATCCGGAGGTTGAGGCGAATATGGAGCTTGTGAAGGAGGTTATTCACGCTGCGCGTTCCGTGCGTGCCGAGTATGACCTGGCAAAAAGTGTGCGTCCGCAGTTCTTCATTAAGTGCATTGACAACGACGTGAAAGCGGTGATGGAGGCGCAACTCGATGACTTCGCCACACTGGCCAAGGCAGGCGATTCCAAGTGCATTGTGGACGAGGAGGCCCCACCAGGCTGCGCTATGCACAGTGTCAACAACAAGGTGCAAATTTTCGTGCTACTCGCTGGCCTGGTGAACTTTGCCAACGAGATCAGCAAGTTGGAGAAGAAGTTGACGAAAATTACGCCGTCTCTTGCTAGCTTGGTGAAGAAGATGAGCCGTGAGGATTACGAAAAGAAGGTGCCGGAGAACGTACGCGAGGCTGATGCCGCAAAGAAGGTAGCTCTGGAAACGGAAGAAGCTGGCATACACCGCGCTATTGCCGAGTTCAAGCGCCTTTTGTAGATCGGTTTGCCTCCTAGGAAGTTACCGAACCTTTGCATCATGTCATTGAGCCGCACGAAATTGTGTCGATCGAGCTTTCGCTCGTACAGGCACAGCAATAAATGAAAAAAGTACAACAATACGTGCAAGACCACTCACGAACGACAAGCAGTGACAAGCAGCTGCAATCGATGGGTTAGTTATGCATGTGCTTGCTTGCTTGCTATAGCTTAAGGCCTAAGGATAGTTACTACGTGATTCTTCTCATGCACAAAACCATTGGCATGGAACATTATCACTAAGAAAAACGCTTTGCTACAACTCGTAACAGGACTACAAAGAAGAGAATGGAACAAAAACGACAAGTCACACCATCCACGATGAGACTATCAAGCGACGATCAACAGGTTCAAAGTAATGACGTCGTGTCGGTGTCGGATGGACAGACACTTCTGATCAAAATCCTTTTTGCGTCGTCAGCTGTCAGACTCTAGCGCATCGTCGACTCCTCCATGACCATTTTAACATGAGGTACAGGCACCAGCGATGTGCATAGTGCAATGACTGCAAAAATACTGCGTCCCATTTTGATCCCAAAGAACTGTAGCCTAGATCCCGCAACGTAGTATTTCTTTACATGGCCAGTGTTCAACGCCAACGACCGCCCACGACAGACTTGCAAATGCTTGACACACTGCGCGACTTGAACAACTAAAAGCTCTTTCACCTTCACAACTAGTACCTCAATTGAGAACAAGCATGATTGGGACCACCGGTCAAGACCAAATAACATGATGGCAGACGAACCTTCCGTGAGCTCGAATGTCTCTAGCTTTGTCATCCTCATTGTCACTTGCTCTCGCCATGCTTGCGTCTGTCCACATCAACGGTCACTCGATATTCACTCACCAAGCCGACTGAACGACGCTGTGGACGGCGATGAGATAATGCTTCGGTTGCTCATATTACATAATTAATCGCGTCTTGCTGCGCGTTCGCTACCTTTTACTAAGGCCGCGTCAGCTGGGAAAATTGTTTCTCTCTCCTTCCACTCGGAGGCTTCCGAGCTTAAGTCTCACTTGTATCACGCTGTTCTTTCCTTCTTGACTACACTCGTCAATCGCACGCATCGTCATGCAACACCAAGCTACTGGTACAGGGGGCTCCAGCTTTCGTCCGCGGCGCCCCGGGCGGTGGATTAATCGATCAAAAAAAAGACTGTAGCTTTTTCGTCGTGGGCTATAGCCACACGTTCGGCGCGGGCTCTTCGTCGTCATACAGACGAGAGGCTGCGCTCACACTTTTAGACGCCACAAATCCAGAGGGGGCCTGAGGTGCATAAGTCGAGCCGCGACTAACAATCGGACCCGATCCAGGTGGTCGTGTACTCATTCGACGTAAGTTATTCCGTGGATTGTCTCCAAAATTAATGGTCGTATGACGATCTGTCACAAATTGACACAGAAAACAAGAAAACCTCGTTAGAAAGAGAGAGAGACAACAAAAAGAGTCGTTCTCGCTTCAAGACCTTCGGCCAACTCACCTGTTCTACGTCCCATCGTCCTTCCTGTACTCTGATTCTTCTTGAGTTTTGTCTTTTCTTGTCGGTTCAACTTATCCAATCGCATCAGGACATCTCTCCTCTGAGCCAATAATTGAGCCAAATCAATATCACTTTCACGACCACCATCCGGCATCATTGTAATTGAACTTCTTGGAATAGGAATTGCACTTGGTAAATCCAAAGCATTGGCTGCTGTCTTGGAAATTGTCGGACGAGCAATTCGTTTGTATTCTTTTCGAGTCGACACTTCTCCATCGTCTCGAACATCGTGTTGTTTCATACAATTGATACAAAACCCTAATTTAAAGGGATTGGGGGCGAAATCCGTACACAAATTTTCTTCATCGGGATCATCCACTGGTTCTCCCCAACGGGCGTGAATAACAGATGGCGAATTAATTGGACTGCCCAGGATACAGTCAGTATCAAATGGCTGTAACTCAATTGGATCGCCCGCCAAATATCCCGGATCTTCATAGGAGTGATAAATGGGCATCATATCGTCCTCAGCTCGACGTCGAGCAGCTTCTGTGTGACTACGATGGACACGTGATCGAGCAAGAGCATTTGAATCAGAAAAGGAGGGAGCACGAGGTGGTCGACCATGACCATGGGCTGGTCGACCATGACCATGGGGTGTATGGCGATGAAAACGCTCGGATAAAGACTGACGTCTGTAAAATAGAGGAATAGCGTTAGAAATAGAGTAGAAACGAACGTGAAACAGATAGAAACACTCACTTTTTACGACGACGACGTGCTGCTTCTTTTTTTGAAGGAGATGGTGCCTCGAGTAACGTATCAAGGTCAACACTACTCTCGACATTTGGAGCAGACCATCGTCCTCGTTCTCGTTCTCGTTCACGGACGGTACGTCGACTTATATAACAGACAAGAGGTTAGAGAATAGTGATAAAGTGTGTTTAAAGCGACAGGGCGCATGACTTACTTTTGAAGGATCACACCATGTTCGGTTAATACAACTTGCGACTGTTATTGAAAAAAAAACAAGTATATAAGACTTAGTATCGAGTACAACCCACATTTGCTCTTTCTCCCTCTCTCTCTCTCTCTCACGCGTTGTATACCTCACTGTTGCGTGTGCATGTATTGCCCATAGTATATAAATACGAGCGACGGACTGCTGCTAAGTGCTGTTGCCGCTATTCGCCTTTGACTCGCTCGCTAGTTGAGCCTTGCGCGGCAGCAACAGAAGAGCAAAGTTTGTATGTGCGCGAACAAACTCGTCGCGGGTTCGGGCAGTCTGAAAATGCAGGAAGAGAGCGAATAAAAATGCTCCCCCTTTTCACATTAGGCGACGCACGCCCTTGCACTCTTTATACTTGCTTTCCGTATACCAAGTAAAGACCAAATCGTAGGAAAAAAAACATAGCCTGTCTGTTGTTCCTCCGAGAGAGGCAGTCTGCAAGCAAAAAGAGGAGGATTTTTTAGCTTAAATGTTTGTAAAAACATAGAAATGCATTCATCACGCTCCACGCGCGACGAAAAGGGGCGACTCAGATTATCTTGCAGACTGTATTGGTTAGAAATGTCTTGCGTGCTACGAAAAAGGCTAAAAACGCCTTCAATAAACAGACATTGCTCAGAATTAAAGTATCGATATTGGTTTCGCCATCTCACATTTTCAGTAAATTATCGCTGATGCTATTACTAGTCGAAACGTCAGCCTCCTTTACTCTCAATATTGCCATGCCACAGTAACCGTCAGATCCATAAACGATCTACATTGTGCTTGGAACCGGTATGTAGGACAATAGTCAAATTGGGCATCAAGCTCATGCTCAAATGATCGTTTAAGTGGTAAAAAATTGCCTTTGTTGGTAGTCATCAATAAAAGATTTTACATTAATTGCGTGTTAACAGGATAAAAAAGCAGTACTTGTTACAAAATGTTATTACATTTGAGCTGACCAGATCCAATATCTGTGTATACTTGCCTTTAAACAAGTTCACGTCAGGGTGCGGTAATGAGCTCGCGGTCTTATAGATACCATTGCTCACGAAAGTCTAGCTACTTGAGCTCACATTGTAACTATTCTGGGGCTCGAGCCAATTTCCAAAGATTAAAATCCTCATCCACAATTATTAACCTTATTAAATGAGGTCCACTTTTCTCAAATAACAGCGGGAGGATCCGATCAGAACAAATTCACCTGTTCACGTTAAACTCGTGGCCAAATCTGTCTACCCTATATGTCCATCACGGTCTTCATAAGCATCCATCTTTTTGTTATAGGCTCTTCACTTGGTAGCGTACAAGTGCACCACCCGCAGCAAGCCGGCACACGAAAATAACAGCTACTTAACTACCTAGAATGCAACCACAAGACGCTATGTAGTAGCCACAAGTGAACTTAATATTTCACGAGCCAACACCTCATTAAAGTTGGCATTACCTCAATGAATCGCAGAGGGGTCCCTGCGTCTGTTTGCACATCTCGCGTATCCTCGTTTATGTTCAATAGGCCCAGTTTTATGCATGCAATGTTACCGTAGCGATTTCTATCATTCTACCTGTTTCTAAAGCGTCTGTTCCAGTTCAATACACAGCCAGTGTATCTTGTCGTCTGTGACTTGTGCAGTAGATTCGGCTGTAATGATGCGCTTTTTCCGTGATGGGAAATGCCAAACGTCGCCAATGTGCTGCGGTCGTTCAGAATAAGGCAGTGGCTCATTGACCGTCACACGATGCCCATGCACCTGATAATGAACTTGATGACGCTCTTTCCAGCGGCCAAATGCACGATTGTGGATCATTTGAAAGTGATGATCGCGCATCTCGTCGTTCGAAACCATGAGCGTGCGACCGCCAAGCTTCACGGCCGCGTAGAGCCAGTACCAATCGTCATTGTTACCAGGCTGACAGTTGAACATTTTATGACACGCGCGCCACTCTGCGATATGAGCTCGGTATTCAAGTGGCACCTGCTTGTCCGCGGTGCGACGTTCATGCAGTACAATAAGCACTTTCTTGCCCTTTGTCTCATAGTGCTGCACCATGTGCTTAATCTGCCCGTAGTTAAATCCGCCGCTGCGAAAAGTCATCGATATTCGGAACAAGGTATTAGTCGAGATAGTCAGTGCTCAAGGGGAAAGGCCGTGTCACAATGACACACGTAGCGTCAACCAAACGGACTCACCCGTCAAAATTCTGGTTACAATAGCCGACATTGGCGGCGTCAATAATCACGTCAAACGGCCCATATTTCTCCAACCACTGCTTAAACTCGTCCCATTGTAGTTTGCGCTTGTCGTCCGTACGTACGAGTTTCTCAATCTGTCGACAGTAATACAGCAGTAAACCCGATTGTCAGATTGAAGTGACGAGTGTACTGTACATGTATCGTGCGTGGTCAGAAAGGGACCACATGGCATTGCGATGCTCGCGCCACGGACCTTAGCCAGCAGCGCCTCTTGTAGCTCAGTCGATAGTTCCAACGACTGCAGTTGATTATTTGTCACGGAACACACACCCTCCTTAGACACAGCACCCTCACTGATCTTCCACTTGCGGCCGTTCACCTGCGCTGCCTCACTGGAAGAATACAAAATCCACCGAGTTACTTATTGACCACAAGATTGTATACTACCAAAGCAACGCAAACAATGCACGCACCTGCTAAACCAGTCCTTCAACACGTCCCACGTCGAGAGACTTGGTTGCCAAATTTCGTCAATAAATCGGTTCAAGAAAGCGTAGAAGCGCTCGGAATTTCCAGTCTTTACACAAACACGCAACAGAGCCACATAGTCGTCTTCCATCGGCTCGAGCTCGTGTAAAAGCAACTTTTCATACACCCAAATACACTTTTCCAGGTTACCTGCAGCGCTGTATGCCTGTAGCAGCGGACTGAACATGCGCAGCTTAGGCAACACTTTTGCTTCCTCAAGCTCAGCGACAAGGGCATCGCACGCCTTAAAGTCCTTGGCAGTACTACAGAGCTTAATCATGGCACTGTAAATGGGTTCACCCACCTCTACGGCTTTTTTCTTTGTCTGATTGATAGCGGTACTCGCCTGTTTCATCTCCTCAAATACTTTGCAAGCTTCGGCTTTATAGGCCACTGGGTCTTCAGCTTTACTACACAAATTGATAATCATATTGTAGATATACGAAGCCACACTGACGCCTTGGCTCTTCATCTGCTCGTACACTTTTAGCGCCTGAGCAGCATCGTTCTGCTGAACGCAAGTCTCGACATGACTACGGAATTGATACTCGATCTTCTGTGCTGGGGTCTGATAAAGATATGTAACAATATGGTAAACCAATGGGTGATTCGAGTCCAATTGTGTGTATTTTTACCTGTTTGCGCTCTCGCCGACGCTCCTTCTTCGTTAATTTAACCACTGCAGTTTCATTCATATCAAAAAGTGCATAAGATACAACGAAATGTACATTTAATATATTGAGAGAATAGATTATACCGGGTTTAGCGCCTTCGACCTCCGCTACGGGACGCTTCGTTCCGGCCATTGAAAACTTTTTGATTAAAAAAGTGGTAAACGATGGTGATTGATGATAAAACAAATAATCATATTGTTTAAACAAATTTATGCGAATAAAGTCTGAGCGAACTTAAGGCAATAAGGCAAAGCCCTGCATTGCAAGTCTCAATGGGAACTAAAACGTACGTGTAACATGTAGCACTTCAAAGCAGAATGTCTTACAGCAGTCACGCGATCCGTTTGTCAAACAGCAGCAGCTTCATTCTTTTCATTTCTTTCACTCGCAGAAAGGTTCATCTGAAAACTCTAAATTATCTGAATACTCGTAACTCCAATACCATTGATTACCAATTACTTTTAATGTGATACTAAAATCTGTTTAAATATAGGTTTTAAAGAAGCAAACATTGAAAAAAAAGGTGACACGCCGACGGTGCCACGCTGTTTGGGTTTCAGCATAGAGACCGCCTCATAATGCTCCTAGGGTTGTTGCCCACTGTCGGGTCATCATTAGAGGTGGCTAAAGCTTCTGTGGGAACCATGACAGCTGGCTGAACCTTTATCGACGTACTGACAGCCGGAGCTAGCGTCAATCCAATATATTTATCGGATCCGATGTCAGTGTCTACAGAAAATGGTCTGCAAGAAAACGATGCCGGAAACAAATTCAAACCAATATTTTATTTTAATCCGATGTCAGTGTCCAGAGAAGTAGAAAAGAGAGTCTCAGACCGTCTATTATAGCTACTTCTCACTACCAAGATGTCTGATTGTGTAGTGACTCGTTTCATTTACCATAACGCAATCTTCTTACGCCCTCACTTTCTAGTTCAAGACTTCAGGCTAAACGGCAGGGCACACCGACAAGGGCCCGTGGCTTAGTCCGTTGACTTCGTCCAAAATTAGCTTGATGTGCACTCTAAACCGGATTGCTGAGCCGGAGCGTGAGCCGGATCGGAAGGCGAAGCCGGAGTTGGAGCCGGATCGGAAGGCGAAGCCGGAGTTGGAGCCGGATCGGAAGGCGAAGCCGGAGTTGGAGCCGGATCGGAAGGCGAAGCCGGAGTTGGAGCCGGATCGGAAGGCGAAGCCGGAGTTGGAGCCGGATCGGAAGGCGAAGCCGGAGTTGGAGCCGGATCGGAAGGCGAAGCCGGAGTTGGAGCCGGATCGGAAGGCGAAGCCGGAGTTGGAGCCGAATCGGAAGGCGGAGCCGGAGCAGGAGCCGGAGCTATAGGCTCATTCTGCTTAGGTTTGTTGTCCGCTGCCGGTGCATCATTAGGGGTTGCTGAAGCTTCCGTGGGAGCAGGCATGGCAAGTGGCTGGACCTCCTTCGTAGTATCAGCAGTGTTAGTCGGAGCCCCAGGCGCATTCTGCTGATGAGTATCGGCGCCCGCTGTCGCGGCGCTAGGGGTGGCGGCTGAAGCTTCAGTAGGATCGGCAGGCTTAGGGGTGCCTGGTGCCGAGAGAGCTGTGCAGGTGGACTGTAGGGTACTGATCTCGCTCTTAAGCACGAGCTTGTTACCGACGATGCAGTTTGTGAGCTCGAAATTGACGCTGCTCACGAGCGCCGACAGAATGGTCTTGCACGAGTCCGAGGCACAGATGGCCTTGACCTGTTGGGGCGCCGTGTCAGCGTTCACGGTCGTAAGATCCACGGAACCGTCCAGGGCGGCGCTGAAGCTGTTCTTAGTCATGCACGATAGCAGCTCCGTATTCACTTCAAGGCCCGCGTAGGCCTTCACCAGCACGTTGCTGTCGCAATTGTCGAGCGCGTTTGCGGAGCCAAATGCCAGCGCGCCCAGCACAGCTCCAAAGGTCGAGCAACGCATAATGTCGAGTTGAGTTAAGCGGGGGTTGTACGTAAAGTCCTTTGACTGTCTTATCTTCGAGCGGGACAAGATGGAAATGATGCACAACGTAGTTCTCGAAGAAGAAGTCAGTCCTGGCGACGACAAAGGTCTCTTAGCATCGTGAAGCCCATCTGGAGGTACCATAGACGAGGTGGGATGCTACTGGCGCACCTCTACACGAAGCATCAGGCGGGACATGGAATATACTTGAAGGTACATAACGGTTCTTGCGAATAAAAGCTTGCATGATCGCTGAGACAAAAGGGCGATTCCAATGACGATGGACTACCGCCCTATCGTACTCCTTCAAATCGGATACAAAGTTTATACAAAAAAATCGCGACGAGAGCTTAACGAGTACTAGGGACATCTATTGGGAAGTCGCAGCAAGGCTTCGTCCATCGCAGGCAGATGCACAAAATCGTAATGATAATGCTGGCTCTCCTGGCAACAGCGAAGACCGAACCGAAGCTGGCAGCTCTGCGTAATCGGGCCATCCTCTTGCTCGATTATACGAAAAGCGTACGACACGGTTGGCACTCGTGCGCTTTGGATTTTCTCAGGCATGTACGGAGATGATCCGAAAAAATGTGAGAAGAACAGACCGTCTACTTCAAACATTAAGGATTGGTAAGATGTCTGGAGTGCTTCTACCAGGACTTCGTCATTCTTCGCCTCGCTGGCTCAATCTGCTGGCTCGAGACGTCGGGCGTCACGGGGGACACTCCGAAAAGGGCACGTGGAATCGGGTATCCAGCCCGAGGTGTAAACAGTGGCTCAATGATCGCAACAAGCGCCGGGCACCACACCGATCAGTCCCGATCGACCGCTGATGCACCTGGACGGGGCCGATCAATTCACGTTCTTGGCGAGTTCACTTCGTGGGACCGAGATTCGCGCTCGGCGATCGAATCGGCGGCTTGAAGGCTGACGTAGAATAGCAGGAACTATTGGGGAAAGAGGGAATGATAACCGCGGTCATCGATCCTCTCCCCCCGGGGGTAACAGGGTTGGTGCTCCCCTTACGGTTCGCACGCTGCGCTTGCCCCCCATAGCGCACGCAGCAGAGGGAAAACCTCCCCCCTCTTATCCTGGGCCTCCCGTTGGAGGGACTTCCCGCCCTGGTCGGAGGGGGCCGGTTGACCGGCTCTTTGAAGGTCTTCGTCTCTTGGCCGTTGTTGCTCGAAGGCTCGAATTGGGAAGTGATCCGAAAAAATGTTACGACGGTACCACGACTCACTTTGTGGTTACAACCGAACACTTTCAGAGGCTCAGGAAGTGATCTCCGGAATACGGCAGGGAGGCTTGCATGCTTTTTCTCGTTGCGGCGGAGGTACTGGCGTTGGTAATTCAACAAGACACCTCATCGGTCTGAAAGTGTCAGGAGGAAGGGGGGCTGATGAGAAACATAAGGTTTCGTCTTTCGTCGACGATACAACGGGTGTTTATGCAGGAGGCGCAACACCTACCCAGAGTGATGACCATTGTGGAAAAATTCGGACGGATGTCAGGCTGGAAGGTATAATCGACAATACGTAAAAATAATTTTCTAAACACAGCCGTCGACAGTGAGGAACATTACGGGATATTGGTGTTACGTCATGGGGATACGGTGCGGTACTTCGGCCTACGCAGCTGAGTATACAACTACGAACTGGGTGCGGCAGTATTTCACATGACAGAAGCAATTTCTGTGGCATCACTTTACCAGCACGGATCCTAGTCGCTATAAGATCAATCTAGCGCTTTAGCATACGCCTAACACGCGGGAGGAGTCAGCCTGGCTTTCATACTAATTGCATGCAAGACGCAGCGGGTGAAACACGTCATACTCTGGCTCACTAAACGCAGAGACATCTATTATCTGGCATGGCAGGCATCAGCTTGCCACGAGCATCGGATGCGATCAGCCGGACGACAACAGAGGAACGGGTGGTGAAGCCTTCTCGACCACTTTGTCATTTTTTGACACCAGAGGAGGAAGCAATTTGGCCCGCGTACTCTTGGGCCGAAATTTTATAATTTGTGGACCAGCAGAGGAACGTCTCGATACCACGGAAGTATGACAAGATTCTGTTCTGCACTATAGCGGAATTGCAACTGCATCGGATTGGGGATCGAACGTACTCCTTCGTCACTCTGACGGTAGGCGCGACCACGTCAACAGGCCAAGCTGCGACGATGGGGCCAAGCGTTTTTGCTGAGCGCATTGAGCGTAGCTGTGGGCGGACGACAAGTACGAAAGGACCTACTTCTGCGCCACCTGCCACAGGCCTACACGTGGGAATAGTCTACGACGGGCTGCGTCAGCGGCATTATGGTGGCCTCTGACCCAGGTCATCGGAGTGTCATCGCCCTGGAGCAGGACAGCGATGGAACTGATAGGAATATTACCGCAAACAACGTTGAGGATCAGCGAACGGTTGCCGACTCTCAGAGGCCCCAAAAGGGCCATGATGCATTGGTCATCGTATTCTATGCGAATCTACATATTCACGAGTTCCCTACAATAACAGTTTTGTCGGTACAAAGGTGCGGAAATACGCTGACACAAACGTTGGAGACGCCTCAGGACTCTGCGCAGAGAAGTGCGTGGCAGACAGGAGTTTTACAGCAGATGTCAACCAATTGCTGGGTTCATGGGAACGAGCTTGCCGTGTACCAAGTGTGGGTCGTCTATCAAGTAGCAGTGCGGCAACTAAATCCCTTCCATTCAGACCGAGGGCAAGACAACAGTTGCTGCAAGCTCCACTGCTGCCTAGTGGTGAACGATACACTGGAATACATCTGCTGGACATGTCCGCGCACGCAAGCCTGCTGGCAGAAGCTCGTTTGCCACTGGACAGAAGAACGATGATTGCTAGGACGGCTTCAGTGTTTCCTTGCAAACAGTGCAAGCAGACACGCGCCAGGTTAATCTACGGTGGTCCAGAAACAGCTTACACGACACCACCCAGACGAGGTGGTCGCATACGCCACCGTATGGAAACGCATATGGCACATCCTGAGCATCACCCGATTGTGGATACAACGCAACCGCGTGACGTTTCAGCAAGCGGACGTGACCATCGCCGGTAGCGTTTACGATTTTTGGGAAACTAGCATGAGACAACATCGAGCCGTAGCGAAGCGAAAGTGCCGGCGAACCGACACAACAATACTAGAAACTTAACGTGCCATAGCCAAACAACCCCGAGAGTCGTCACAGCAGGTGACAAGCCCTGGACTTGAACGAGAAACCGACGTAGGCTTCGAATCTACCAGACATCCTGCAATCACTAAACGTTATGAATGACTCGTTTATCCTCCGAAATAGAGAATGAAAGTGATGGGCATGTTGAACCACAAAAGAGGGTAAGCAGCTGGAAAGCCACGTGTTGTTTTGACGTCAAGTTGTTACAACATGGCGACATGTGGTGAGAGCGTCTGAATGATCAGTCGAAGGATGAGCTTAACTTTAGATGAAAAAGTGTGCTTTTAGTCGTAAATGAGAAACTAATTCGTAGCGATAATTTCGCACTGCGTTCGATATTGAAAAGTAAAAATTGCAATATTTTTGCAATAGCGGCTACTTTTTATTGTGAAAATGTTATTATCTAGTGTCACAATAGCCTGACAGATATTTGGCACTGATGACAGAGACATCGCGCATCTTAAACTGCAGTACTCACTATGGTGTGCTCAAGCTGGTCCAACGTGACCATACGCCAACGTTCGTTGATATTCAGCAAGTACGTAGACGCTACAAGGAGCTGGCAATTCTCGTGCATCCAGACAAGAACCGTGCTATTGGTACGTATCGCTTTGGTTCAAACTACAACTGTCACAGGATTAATCCTTTGTAAAAAATGTAGATGCAGAGGCCGCATTCAAGCGACTAAGCGAAGCTTACGAGTGTCTAGTGGACAAAGTATCACAATGCAATTATTTGCAACAGTTGCAGGTAATTAAACGGAAAACTGGAGCAAAGACAACGAAACAAAAGTTCAAATATCGTCGGAAGACAAAGTCAGAAGTAAAAAGTGGAGAACACGACGTACCGTCTACTCGAAGAAGGACACCTGAAGAGATCTGGCAGATGTTTCAGCGTGAAGAGGAAGTGCTGGCACGACAACAGTTCCAGGCTAAAGGCTTTGACAGGAGTTACTCGAAGCGGAATACCGACGAGGTCATCACCTCAACGATTCCACCCGAGGTACAGCAGGATATTTTGAACTCAAAATTGGATGTGAAAGCGACTAAATGGGCGACATGGAGTAAACCAGCTTCAAAACGAATGAAGATGACGACGGTATCAGAACCGGAACATAAGATTGGTGTAGTTTCTACGGCTGCTGACGCGAGTGACATCTCGGCAACTGTATTGTGTTTTTGTATGCTGTGTCGGCGACAATTTCGGACAGTTGAGGCACTACAACGGCATGAAACTTTTTCGAAACTCCACTTAGCAAACGTGCAAGCTGAAGAGTGTAATTCAAACGATCATCCATAGCTTGATGACATCTTGTTTATATGTGATTGACGTGCTATTGTATTATATTCAACATTTTCCCACAAACTTGAAGAGATACAATCTACTCTGTGGCTGTTTGGGTACAGCCAGATTGTAAGCAAGACAAGATTGTTTTTTTTGAAAAGCATCCCGTCCGTCTTTGGTGTTCATTCTGAATAGCACTAAGCAAATATGCGGTCAGTTTTGACATTACAATAGTGTAATATAGCTAAAATACGGAATAAATGATGAAACACAATCATTATTTTCTCATCGCTTTTTGTTGCTTTCGAGTAGCAAACAGCACTATGCATAATTTCTAGGAGGTGCATATTGTCACTTCATACATATAGTTATAAACTTGCATGGCCGATTGTCACCCTGGGACTAAACGTGTAAATTGAGATCGCTTTACAAGAGATACTTAGAGGGTATCTTATGGTAGCAGTTCTTGTCGTTAACAAAAGTAATGTGAATAGTATTGCTGCTTCGCATCAGCTATTAAATCGACAATAAGGCATCTTTCATCATTTTGCTTCTTGTTTGCTACATACCGTTGTCAATAGCAAAAGTCCCAATTTCCTTTCCCAATTTGAGCTGAAGTCCCAGCAACATCACTTTACGGAACAGGTAACAAGAATTTACATCGCTTGGTACGTTTTAATGCGGACAAAGTAGCAAGCTTGAATCTAGACAAACATGGCCGAGTGTCGCACGATTCCGTAGGGATGACATACACAAGAAATAGTTTGTAGGCTTGAAAAAAAGGGCGATAGCTTTCCTGTCGCTCGGTACTTGACGTCTCATAGAGGAAAATTCACAATAAATCGTTTTCTGATATTACGACCGAGATTTTGAATGCATGTCCATAATTACATGTCCCCAATTACAGCTCAGAAATATTACTTTTAGCTGTAATTATCTTTTCAAACATGACCTCGATGCCATTCTACCGTGAATTTCTTCTACATTTTATCCCATAAAGTCATAAAAAAACAAAACATCATCCCTAATAATGGCTGACGACGGTAGAGTTGACTCCTGCTTTAATCTCCATCGCTCTTTGATTTCTAACACCTTATTGTATCCTTCTTTATAGATACCGTGATCCGACGACGGCTGCTCACTCGCACTAGTACCGTAGGCAAGTCGGGGATTAAAAAATGTGCTGAAACAATGTTGACCCTTGTGGATATTCTAAAGGACGAATCGGTGGACGATGTAACGCGTAAACGAGAGATGGACGCACTCTTTTGGGAGATGGAACAGCTTGAATTTGAAGCCAACAAGACGGCGATATGGAATTACACGTGCGACCGGGAGTTGGAAGAGTACGAGACGCTGAATACCGAGATTGACACGTCTATTGATAAGGTCATGAAGGAGATTGAGGAATTAAAGCAGAAGGTGCACAAGGAGAAGACTATACGTGCTTATAAGGAAGAGTACGAGTCTATTGCTCGGGTAATTAATGAGCTACCGTCGAGGAAGGAAATCACTGCGGAAATTCAGAGCGAGAAAAAACGACTGGAGGGCGCTACAAGAGCCATCGAAGCGGTGGATCAAAAACTGGAACTACGCACGAAACAATTTGCAGTATTGATAAACACGATCCAGAACTTGAAGGCCACGCTGGACGAAGATGCTGTGGTAGAAAAAGAGGACCATCAGGAGGACGAGGAGATGGAGGATGGGGAGAGCAAGACTGCTACTACATTAAATGAGAACGGTGCGTGTAGATGCGATGAGAATAGTATTGGTGTATTTCTGATTGTGACTGGTGGCTTTGGAATGTGCAGCTGATCATGGTTATGCTGATTGAGTTAGGCGTTTTGTGCAGACAGGTTCTTTAACAACTCTAGTGCCCATATACATGACCGAAACATGAAGCCCTTGGCTATTATTCTGCTTCTAACAGATAATCGATAGAGCTTTTACGTAGCTGCAGTGAATTATGAAGCACTCACTAATGGGAATCTCCAATCTGCCAATATATCTGCAACAGCAGTGCATTCTTCGGTCGGTAGATTGCAATTGCCTCCTCACTGTCAATGATGCCCGTCTGCTCTAGCTCTGTCACAAAAGGTCTTTGACGCAGTTGGCGCGCGACGTGATCCGTCTTCAATTGATGTTTTAGCTGGTGTTTGACCTCTTGCCACGTTAATGCTATTGCTGCATCCTGGTCTTCTCAGCAGCGCAATAACAGCTTCAGCAAGTAGTACAAGTGACCTTCCAGAAAATTTTATATCGTGCGAGACAAGCTCATTCTTCTCGGGTCGTGACTCAAGTAAATGCGACACTTGATTCTGCACCAACTTTCTCTCAAGTTTCTTTGCTGTAAGAGCGAAACTTGGTGTCGGCGCTGCACTCGTCTCCAAAAGGCCCGGGCACGGAGCTCTTCAATCGACGACCGATTACATACGTAGGAGCTTCTGTAGACTGGGCGCGACTAGTCTCCGCCATGAACAATAACATTAATCCGTCTCTCCTGCAGGCAGTCCCATACACATACGGTGCATGGCCTCAGCAGCCACAGTCCTTGGTTCAATTGTCTTGTTGGGCTTGGTAGCCATCACGAATTTGCGATTAAGCCAGACATTGAGCTTCTGGGCACGTAAATCTTCCTTACTGATGCTGTTTGCTTTCCAAGCGACACAAAGTCATTAGGATGAGCGTATACACAGTTAGTGAAGGCGAAAGAATTCCCAGGAAGTCCTACAACAGCCGCTCCAAACGTCATATTGTTGTCTGCTTGGTGGGCCCTTGGTCTGCGCTCCGTAAGGCTGGGCTTGTAGACTTGCGGAGTGTTAGGAAAACAGGAATGCATGAGTTGAGCATGTGCTTTATCATTTAGCTTCGTCATTCATTCAACATCCATCAGTCACATCAGTTATCTCTATCAGTCGTATCGCAGCAGTCAAGGCATGACATCAGCCAGTCCATCTAGCGTGAAACTCTCCAATAATCCTCAAGACTGTTCATCCGCAAGTCTACAGATGTCTTCGTACTCGACTCGATCCAAAATCTCGCCTCGATGGGACCCTGAGTCAATCCGAATGCGAGCGCAGAAGTCGGCAACTGAGATGTTTAGTAGCTTCGCCGTACAGCCACGTCCGAGACCATTAACAATCTTGACTTTGCGTCCTGGTTTCGGTATCACCGTCTCAAGGTCGTCTTGGTCCAGCCGCAGTATATCTCCAGAATCCAACAGCTCCACACTCGCACAGAACTTATCCTCCACATTCTTGACAACTCCTTTGCACTTGTAGTACTGGCCGTCGCCAACCTTTTTGTTTGTTACCTTGACCACAATTCCCGTGGTAATCCAATTTTCCTTCCGTAAACACTTGGACTCCTGTTCTAACCGTCGATTCTTTTCTTTCCGATGACGCTCTTCTTCCTCCATGATAGCGCCCACAGCGTGTCGCTGGTCAGAGCGTTTGGCCTCCAATGCCATCTCCCTGCTCTCTCGTGTCTTCTTGCCCTCATCGTTATCCTCTCCACCAAACACCGAAACCTTCACTGCACCTAACACTTTACTATCCTTCTTGCCATCTTCGTTCTTTGTAGCCAGCAATATCTTGATCCTGTCTCCATTTTCTCCACGCTGCAATTTGGTTGGCCGGTGCGTCGTCCCAACTTCCTCTTTCTCGCTAGCAATCTTCAGCTGCCGTTCAATGAACAGCCGATTCCGCTCTTCATGGTCTAATTTCGCCTTCTTTTTTTCTCCAGTTCCTCCTGTCGAGCAATTGCTTTTGGATCTCTGTCAATATACTGGATATGCCAACCTTTCTCCGTCTCGTCCACAGTGCATTTGCCTACACGTCCCAAGTACTGCACAAAACTCCCGAGTGTCTCCCATTGTGTTGCATTCATATGAATGTGCATTTTGTCTGCTATATATTCATTGTAAACATGCGTAGCACGCATTCGTTTTGTGCCATGACGTCGTCGTAAGTTTTCAAGAAAAGCTTCTTCAAACATTTCACTGTAGCCACTCATGAATTTATTTGGATCATTGGCCACGATCAACATTTGTCGTTGATGTGCCTCAGATGTGGTGTGACATTTGAATCCATTTTCATCTCGACATTGTTTTTGACACACTTGACAGAACCATCGCAATTTCTGAAGCCCTTTTGACTACAAAAAAAAGAATTTTTATGGTCAAAAAAAATTGACGTGTATGTATCGAGTTAGTGGTGTGGTAAAAGTGATAAAAGAAGAATACGAGAGTGAGTGAACAACGGTAGAGAGTAAAGACGCACCTTCATACGAATGCCAATGGCTTTGGGCGTCAAAAAGTCGTGCTTCCCCATGATTATAAGAGATTAAGCAGTGAAAAAATGGTAAATGGGGTTTTTTAACTACAAAGTTAAATAATGAGCACATTTACGTTTGAGACATAAAAAACGTAGCCATCTTGTAAGATTATAACATTTACAGAAAGTAACACCTTTTTTATCTATCTTCTTTTATGGCTCGCTGGCGACTGAAATCGAAGCCGGTAACAAATCCTTATATTGAGATAAAGAATCAAAGTCTTTGTAAGACTTGTGTTCTTGAGTCTGTGACTGGTTACATTCTTGTTGAATCCCGTAATTTTTTTCTAAACTACTAAGCTTATAGCTTGTTAACGGTAGAAGTCTCTCCTCGTTCCTAATACGGGGTCGGCTTCTTAGTCGTTGCATTAGTTCTATAAAATCAAGTAACTATTAGTCGTTATCCTTAGTTCCTTAGAACTAAGTAGCTTTTAGCCTTATAAAGCCTTCCTCTGACTAAAGAGCTGTGCAGCTCCGCTACACTTGGTAGCACTCGTAGTCAATCCTACACCTGAGTTTATAAGACTGACCCTCTGTGAGGATGGAAAGTCAAAATAAACTCTCTGAGGCGCAATGACTCGCAATAGATAAATTATCTGCGATCGTTGGGCCCAATCAAATCGAGGCTCTTTTGGCCCAAGGTCCGGAGGTCCTTAATGCTCGCCTTGAGGCCTTCATGCGTTATGAGGGCAACGCTACTCGGGCAGGTCCATGACCAGGCAGCGTCAGCTGCGCCTACACAGTACATCCTGGTACCTGTGCCCGATGAAGAGCCAAAGGCTTGCCCACTTGCCCACTCGTTTTAAACGTGAAAACCTTTGAGGGGAAAGAGGGAGAAAATCTTCAACATCCAAGAAGTTGAAATGGCAATGGATGCCGCCATGCTTGTGTCAGATAAGCAACGAGTTGGATTGGCCATTTCGAATCCCGGTGGAAGAGCTAGAGAATGGGCTCTAACGAGCGATGTCTCTGTAAATGCTGCATTCCCCACATGAAAAATGCTTAAAAATCAATTAACTTGTGTGTTTGCACCGCCTAATCAGGCTTATCGTGTGCGCTCACGCTTCTTAGCTACCCGAAAGGGTAAGAAAGACTATGTCCAAGAGTTGAGAACTCTCATCGCTGCCATGCAGCAGGACCTTATGGCAGAGGAAGTCCAAGTAACCATTTTTATGGAAGGACTTCGCACTGGGGTCGCCAGGACAGAAGTTTTCCGTGTCCAACCTTCGACTTTCGAGGAGGCAGTAAGCATAGCGTTTAACGCTGAATTTAATTTTAAATCTGCTTAATGTGGTTTACCATGGTATAGTTTAAATGCCTCTTATCTGGCGGTACCCATGGACCTCAGCCATGCTGAAGAAGCTGAACCTCAAGCTGCAGAGCAGCAAGGTAACATCCGTAGATGTTACATGTGCAGAAGCACTAGGCACTTCCGCCCTAGCTGTCCGTTGCGAAAGCAACGTCAGAATCGGCAGATCCGTAACCCTGCTCCTTGCCAATAGGCAAGCACGGCAGGGGAAAACGTCAGTTCCAGTAGGGCTTCCCGCGCCTACTGGGAAAGATATAGATTCTTTTGAGCCATTAGGAGGTATAGGTAAACAGGGCTTAGCCCTAGGTGGTTCTATGGATGCTTCCATGGAACAGGAATACAAGCCAGGCTTGTTGGTTGTGTCGGCAACCGTTAAAGGTTTTGAGAGGTCATGGTTGATTCTAATTGACTCAGGGGCGTCGGGTAATTAAGTTTGACGTCGCTCCCTTGAAGGGAGTCAGCTGTATGCTGAGGCGCTAAAAGCGCAAGGGGGTAACAGTATAACCGTGCGCCTTGCAACTGGTGTACGTTTCACCGTTCCTAAAGTTCCGTTGAACTTAGGTGTGAATTTCTTAGACTTCAATAGCGTCGATCGCTGTCTAGTCCTGGATTTAAACTCGAGATATGATCTCATTATCGGTATGGACTGATTGGAACGCCATGAGCCATGGATCGATTGGAGATCCAAAACTTTAGGCGCAACGCACAATGTTCCTAGCGAAGCTTTGTAGAGTCATGAGCCCGCCTTCGCTAAGAAACAGAAGCGCTATTGGCGCGAGCCATTACGTGAGTCAGTTAGTGTGCTGGATATTGGAGTGTTTGAGTTGATAAACTCCAATGTCAACAATAATAGTGTCGAGAAGAGCTCAGTGACACTTAGCGGAACGGCACGTACTCCGTTGGGTGATACTCATAGTAATATTGAGACACTGGATGTCGGTAACGACATCGGATCTCGTATAGAGCAAGTTTAGGTCGATGACCTTATTAGTAATATTGACTGTAATAGCAATACACTGGATGTCGGTAATGAAATCGGCTTTCGTATATCAAGTGAAGGTCGATGACCTTGTTAGTGAAGTCACTGGTACTAGTGACTCACTGGATGTCGGTAGCATCTGTTTTATTTCGTAGTGATGTCAGTGACCAGTTGTATACCTGGTCAACGGAGTGACAGGTGATGTAGATGGTGAGGTTGACCTTGAGGCCCTTTCATCATTAAATGCTTTTTTAGAGCTAGACGAAATGTCTGTGGCATCAGGCCTTGAAGGCAGGTGCTCTATCCGATATGGTGGTCATTCGACCTAACCTCGAGCTGAACTCATCCTCGCTTGTCGATGAGACAGTCCTTGAAGATACAAAAGCGGCACTAAGTGCGCGTAGTGGGGCATATATTTTGAATTTTTTTTAGATCCCTACTATCCTTTATTAAGGAATTCCAGGACGTGGTGTGTCACGATCCACCGTCGGTTCTACCACCTGATAGGGGTGTACGTCATGAAATTGACTTGGTTTCCGGGACCAAATACTGCGTAACACGGCAGTAGCCTTTACCCAAAGAACAGTGTGACGTCATTGACGAGTTCTTTCGTGCAAAGCACGCGGCGGGCATGGTGGGTGAGAGTAAATCTTCGCACTCGACACCCACTTTCTGTGTTAAGAAACCGAATGGTAAATGGCGTATCGTTCATGCTTATAATAAGCTCAATGCAGCCACTATACCTGCACAGACGCCAATACCTAGAAAGGATGTTCTTCAGAACAATATGGTCGGCGGTGCCATGTACAGTGCGCTCGACTTAGTCGATGGTTATTAACAATTGCTCATGCAAGCTAGCAATATTCCGCTCACTGCTGTTAGTACTCCGATCGGTATGCTCTGGGAGTGGTTGGTGATGCCCCAGGGGCTATCTAATGCTCCGGATACGTTTAGCCGTTTAGTGACGCAATTGTTTCGACCCCATCGAAATTATGCACATACGTACTTTAATGACACTCTTGTCCATAGTTGAGCTGAACATGGGCGGTCAGCTATTGAGAACCATATTGTTCATTTACGAGAAGTGCTCGAGTGAATGCGCACTAATAAGCTATATGCTAATGCTCTAAGTGCATCTTTGGGGCCGAAGAAATTTACTTTATAGGGTGCTTCATTGGAAAACGAGGCCTACGAGCGGATCCCGCCAAGGTCAAAGCCATAGTCGATTGGCCTGTTCCACAGTCTCAGAAGGACTTGCGTAAATGGCTTGGCCTTGCCAATTACTTACACAAGTATAGCGAGAATTACGCTGATATGGCTCGGCCATTATCTAATCTCCTTAAATAAGATGTGGAATGGTGTTGGCATGCCGAACATGAGGATGCTTTTCAAGCGGTGAAGGCTAGCTTTCTCCATGCCCCCAATTTGTCTTTGCCAGACCCTGATCGACCGTTAAGCGTCGTCTGTGACGCGTCTAATTTTGCCATTGGCAGTGCTCTGTTACAAACAGATGATGAAGGCCGTGAGCGTGTGATCGTTTTTGAATCTCTTTAGCTGAAAGTGCAGAAAAGAACTATTCAGTTCATGACAAAGAGCTACTTGCGAAGAAGTATGCTCTAGTCAAATTCAGAGTTCATCTGATGGGCTCAAAGCCTTTTGTGATCTATAACGATCATGCGTCTTTTTGCACTGCGACTCAGTCGCCGCATCTCTCACAGAGAATGGACAGATGGCTGTCATTCTTTGCCGAATATAATTTTGAGGTGAAATATAAGCCGGGCAAGCAAAATGCTTTTGGCTGATGCGTTGTCACGCAGACCTGACTATGAGCTTGCTCATGCTACGAAGTTGTCGTTCTTTTATCATTGATCTCATTCGATCGGCTTATGCTAAAGATGATCATTGTATAGTGTTTTACATGTTCTTGGCAATGATTAGGTTAAGGAATTGGACATTAAATGTCAGCACGATTACGTGCGAGCCTCCATCAATATTCTATCGATCAGGGGCTGTTGTACTATCGTACAGATGTGGCGGATCCTCTGCGTATTGTGGTTCCTCACGACGAGGACCCGAAGTATCGTACCCTCTATGAGGTACATGACACCACCATCGGTGGTCATTTGGGTCGTGAAAATACCTATGGGGCAGTATGCCAGAGTTACTGGTAGCCCAAATAATATAAATGGGTGAGCACATATGTGCGTACGTGTGAAACGTGTCAACAGGTGAAACCCTCGCCCCATTTGGCAGCGCCGCTGGCTAGTTTGCCTATTCTCACTGGGTGCTGGGAGTCCATTAGTATGGACTTTGTGTTTGGCCTTCCGAAAGATTTCCAGTGAGGCGTGCCAAGTAAAGGCTTTGCGTAGTGATATGGGGTTCAGATAGCGTTGTCGAAGAGCCGTTCGCGTAGCGACATCCTCGGGTGAAATGGACTCATGCCCAATGCAATTCAGAGAGGTATTGACCAGATGACTCCTTAAGGCATTCTTCCACTGTAGGTGGATTGAACTTATACTGTCGGTGGTCCTGAAGTCTCGCCATACTTTTCGTCCGACGCTTGGAGCCTTTTTCTTGGTCGATGGTCTGATGTTGCTGCTCGTAGAGTGGGTTGGTAATCGTCGCCGTTGACGATATCACGTAACGCTGTTAGCGTATCTGTAGCACCACGTTCAGAGAACAAATTCGGTGTATGGCTAGTGTCATCTT